ACATTATGTCTAAAACCAAGTTTGTGTCAAAAAAGTCAAAATATGAAACTTGGTTGCAACAACATGTCAACCTTGCTGTAGCACTACTTAATTTATTTATGAAGCACATCATTGCAGTTTTTGGGACTTTTGATGTAAAACCTTGGAGTTTTCAGCTAAAAACCTTCAGCCTCACCCCCTCATTAAGTATGCAAAATGTATGTTTAGCTTTTTATCTCTGTAGTTGTTTGACCAAATTTAGTACTTTAATTTTCTAAAACAAGTAATTGTGCATGCCTACCTACTGGTGTCAGACAACTATCAGGATGAGATTGCTAACTGACTTGAAAAAAATATTTAACGTTATGAAACCTCTGCATTGAGTCAATAGGTAAATTTCTCATCCCTGGATCAAATGAAAGGACATTGACTTTGACTTTTCTAGCACTGTAAAGGGCCTGGCATCATGCTGTATCTGCATGTCATGCGCTGCATTAGTAAAGGTATTTTTAAATGAATAGTTAAAATAAAAGAGAACAACACACAGCAATCATAAAATGTTATATATATTCAAGTGTTCTTGTCTGCCTTGAATTTCACTCTAATCATACAGAGAAACATAAAATGGAGAAATTATATTATTGATCTTACTTGAATGAAAGACTTGATGTCAGTAGTGTAAATCCAAACCTTGAGAGAAACGGAAACACTAAAGAGATAGCGAGGTACATAGCAGTGAATTGTAATGGTAAGTCAGATTAAACAACAATAGTAACTGTAATGCTAATCTGTGTCCTATGGCTGATATAACTAATTCAGTGACATATATGCAGGCCTGGGACATAAATTTTGATATGTATGTAATCAACTACACCACTGGTGCATACACAATAGAGAAGAGTGGATTAACAGTGAAGTGTTTTCTATAACATCAAATTAGGCAAAATAGAGTGGAGAGAAAGCTTAAAAGACATAGACAGACCTAGTGACAAAAGGGAGAGAAGGAATAAAACTTAATGATAGAATGGAATGGACATCATACAGGGCAAAGAGATAAATCGAAACAAGGCACATGCAGGTGGAGTTAAAAGTGAGAGATACTTTTAGCAAAAGAGAGAGACCGCAGGCTAAAATGGGGAAGAGAGAGAGAGTCATGGGGGAGAGGAACATACATGTAGATGTAGAAAGGAAGATAAAAAGGAAGAAATATGCACATAGGATAGACATACAGGAGTAAAGATGAGAAAGATGTAGAGAAAAGAGACATGTACATGTACAATAGTAAAGCCATAGAGAAAGGAATCATAGGGAAGAAGAGCAGA